AAATAAAACCTGGCTTGGCTGTTTCAGCTTGGAGAACGACAGGAAAATTGGATTAGGAAATGATTTTTAATTTAAATTTTTAATTTAATTTAAATTTTTAATTTAATTTAAATTTTTAATTTAATTTAAATTTTTAATTTAATTTAAAATAAAATTTAAATTAAAATTTAATTTAAAATAAATTTTAAATTTAATTTAAATTTTTTAATTTTTAATTTGGATTTGGATTTTTAATTTGCTCCTTGGGGAGCAGGAATTTACCCCAGATATCTTTGGGTGCCCAATTTTATTCCAACCATCATCATCCTCAGTTGGAGCTGAAAAATCTTGGCTGCCTCCTTTAAATAATTCCTGGGGCTCAGATTTAATTTGGGGTGAGAAATCTTCTGTTCCAAATGGGAATTGTGCTCTTCATACACCAACCTGGAGGTTTTTTTGTTGTTTTTTTTTTATTTGAAACCTTTTGTGATCCCCAGCAATGTTCCAAGAGCTGAATAAACGAGAGCAGGAATCTGCAGCTCTCAGGAGTTTTTTGTTTTTTTTTTTTTCTTCCTCCTGAGTCCCCTTTGAGGAAAAAAAATTCCCATTTTTTCCACTCCTTTATCCTTCCCCAAATGCCACAAAACCGGGTTCAAATCCTGGAATGGTTTGGGGGTTTGGAAAAAATCCCAAAATTCATCCCAAACCCAACCCCAAACCTTTCCCCCATCCCAGGCAGCTCCTGGACACCTGCAGGAAAATCTGGAATTTTCTGCTCAAACCATTCCCTTCTTTAGGCCCTGCAATGGGGATTTTCTGGATTTTTCTCTCCTTTTTCCATCCCTTCATTTCTTTAAATTCGTTGTGTTCCCACTGGTTCAGCCCAGACCTCATGAGGAGCTTCCCTCACCCCACAAGATTCTGTTCAGGTGGCTGAAAAATCCCTTTTTTTGTTCCTAAAAAAACGCCTTTGGGAGGAAAATCCACTTTTTTCCATCCCAAAATCTTCTTCTTGCTGAAAAATCCACTTTTTTCCATCCCAAAATCTTCCTCTTATTGAAAAATCAATTTTTTTTCCTTCCCAAAATCTTCCTCCTATTGAAAAAAAATCAATTTTTTTTCCTTCCCAAAATCTTCCTCTAGCTGAAAAAAACTTTTTTTTTCTTCAAAATTTTGCTGAAACTTCATTTTTTCATCCCAAAAATCTGCCTCTTGCTGAAAAATTCCTTTTTTCCTTCCCAAAATCTTCCTCTTATTGAAAAATCCACTTTTTTCCATCCAAAAATCTTCCTCTAGCTGAAAATAAACTTTTTCCCTCTTCAAAATTTTGCTGAAATTTCCTTTTTTTCTCCCTAAAATCTTTCCTCTTGCTGGAGACAATTATTGGATAAAATCCTTGTTAGACCTGGCTGGAAAAACTGAGAATTTCCAAAGAAAATTCTGGAATTCAGGAGAAGTTCCCGAGAGGCTGCAGGGATGGTTTTTGTAATTTTTTATTTTTTTTTTAATTTTATTTTTTTTTTTAATTTCCCTTTTTTTTTGCCCCCTTATCTGGAACAGCCAGGCCTGGGTGAAACCTCCTGGGCCACCCTGATTAGCTCTGCTTGGGACATTCCTGATAAAAATTTTATCTGGGAATTAAAAATTTCCTGTTCCTCAACTCTGGATAAAACAGGAATTCAGAAATTAGAAATTTCCTCTGGAAATCTCTGAATTTTTAGAGGTAAAAATGGAAAATTTCAAGATTATGGAGTCCATAAATGAGAAATTCCTGATAAAAATTTCATCTGGAAATTAAAAATTTCCCATTTCTCAGCTCTGGATAAAACAGGGTAGAAATTTATTGTGGAAATCTCTGAATTTTTAGAGGTAAAAATAAAAAATTTCAGGGATTAAATGGCACATTCCTGATAAAAATTTCATCTGGAAATAATGAAAATTAAAAATTTCCCATTCCTAAGCTCTGGATAAAACAGGAATTCAGAAATTAGAAATTTCCTCTGGAAATCTCTGAATTTTAGAGGTAAAAATAAAAGATTTTAATATTATGGAGTCCATAAATGAGAAATTCCTGATAAAAATTTCATCTGGAAATTAAAAATTTCC